AACTAATATATATAGAAAAAACTAGCTGGGCATGGTGGCACATGCCTGTAGTCCCAGCTACTTGGGAGGCTGAGACAGTAGGATTGCTTGAGCCCAGGAGTTTGAGGTTGCTGTGAGCTAGGCTGACGCCACGGCACTCACTCTAGCCTGGGCAACAAAGCAAGACTCAGTCTCAAAAAAAAAAAAAGTGTCTCTTGTCTGTTAAAAGCCGGCTGCTCTTATAATGAAAGAATCAAAAGCAAAACCACTCCTGAAAAAAAATACTAGACAAAAAAACTATACACAGCCCGACGGGGGCGGCCAGACCCCGCCGCTCCGGACCGAGCCGCGCGCGGCTGTGTGGGCTCGGCGGCCCCTCCCGGGCGCCCGCGCGCTCCCGCGGGCCGCGTTGGTACGGCCCGGCCTAGTCATGAGCCTCGGCGCCGCCGCCACAAAAAACACAGAAAACATCAGGTCTTCATGAATGACTGCTGTCACTACACCTGACCCATTTGGCAGACACCTTGCCTGGTCAAGGCGGGATGGTGGAAGTGTGATTCTGCTGAGAATAAGGCTTCTTGCAGTCTCTGAGGCACCATGAATGCCATTGTTGCTCTCTGTCACTTCTGCGAGCTCCATGGCCCTCGTACTCTCTTCTGCACGGAGGTGCTCCATGCCCCACTTCCCCAAGGGGCTGAGAACAGGGACAGCCCTCACCAGGGCCAGCAGGCCGAAGAGGAAGGCGGCATTCAGATGAGCAGCCGGATCCGCGCACACAGCCCGGCGGAAGGGGCCAGCACCAAGTCCAGCAGCCCTAGGCCCAAAAAGTCAGACATATGTGAGGGCTGCCGGTCACTGTCTGCAGGACACCCAGGGTACATCAGCCACGATAAGGAGACCTCGATCAAGTACGTCAGTCACCAGCACCCCAACCACCCCAGCTGTTCAGCATTGTCCGCCAGGCCTGCGTCCGGAGCCTGAGCTGTGAGGTCTGCCCTGGCCGTGAGGGGCCCATCTTCTTTGGTGACGAACAGCATGGCTTTGTGTTCAGAACCACCTTCTTCATCAAAGACAGCCTGGCCAGGGGCTTCCAGCGCTGGTACAGCATCATCACCATCATGATGGACCGGATCTACCTCATCAACTCCTGGCCCTTCCTACTGGGGAAGGTCCGGGGCATCATCGATGAGCTCCAGGGCAAGGCGCTCAAGGTGTTCGAGGCAGAGCAGTTCGGGTGCCCCCAGCGTGCTCAGAGGATGAACACAGCCTTCACGCCATTCCTACACCAGAGGAACGGCAACGCTGCCCGCTCACTGACATCACTCACCAGCGATGACAACTTGTGGGCATGCCTTCACACCTCCTTTGCTTGGCTCCTGAAAGCATGTGGCAGCTGACTGACCGAGAAGCTCTTGGAGGGTGCACCGACCGAAGACACCTTGGTCCAGATGGAGAAGCTTGCTGACTTAGAAGAGGAATCAGAAAGCTGGGACATCACACAGAAGTGGAAACCTAAAAAAATAAATAAAAAAAAAAAAAAAAAGAAAGAAAGAAAGCTGGGACAACTCTGAGGCTGAAGAAGAGGAATAAGCCCCTGTGTTGCCCGAGGGTGCAGAAGGACGGGAACTGAGCCAGTGCCCGGCAGGGTCCTCCTCACTGTCAGGCCGTGGGGGCTGGCAGCCCCAAAAGCCACCAGTCTTCAAGTCCCTTCGGCACATGCGGCAGGTGCTGGGTGCCCCATCTTTTCGCATGTTGGCCTGGCATGTTCTCATGGGGAATCAGGTGATCTGGAAGAGCAGAGACGTGGACCTTGTCCAGTCAGCTTTTGAAGTTCTTTGGACCATGCTGCCTGTGGGCTGTGTGCGCACCATCCCGTACAGCAGCCAGTACGAAGAGGCCTATCGCTGCAACTTCCTGGGGCTCAGCCCACACGTGCAGATCCCCGCCCACGTCCTGTCCTCAGAATTTGCTGTCATTGTGGAGGTCCACGCAGCTGCCCGCTCCACCCTCCACCTAGTCGGGTGTGAAGACGAGCAGTCTCTGAGCAAGTACGAGTTCGTGGTCACCAGCGGGAGCCCTGTCGCTGGAGACCGAGTTGGCCCCACTATCCTGAATAAGATCGAAGCGGCTTTGACCAACCAGAATCTGTCTGTAGATGTGGTGGACCAGTGCCTCGTCTGCCTCAAGGGGGAGTGGATGAACAAAGTGAAGGTCCTTTTCAAATTCACCAAGGTGGACAGTCGGCCCAAAGAGGACACACAGAAGCTCCTGAGCATCCTTGGCGCATCTGAGGAAGACAACGTCAAGATGCTGAAGTTCTGGATGACAGGCCTGAGCAAGACCTACAAGTCACACCTCATGTCCACAGTCCGCAGCCCCACGGCCTCGGAGTCCCGGAACTGACACACCCGCCGTACACGTCTTCTGGAAGTGGTGATGGCAGTCCACAGACTGTCCCCAGCTCCATGAGAGGGGCTGTTCTTTGAGTTTCTGAGATGCTGGGATGGAGCAGTGTCCTTCCTAAGAATGGGGTTGGCTCTGCCCTCTGGGATCTGGAGCCAGTGCTGTTCTTAGCAGCCTCCCACAAGCTGTGGGAGTCGCCCCAGCTGAGGAAAGCAGTGGCGGGTGTAGGAACAACAGGATCCTTCTCTGTGTCTACGCTCCTGAGAGAAAAGTCTGTAAGGAGAACTGGCACCTCGGCCATCTCTCAGATTTAGATGTCAAAACCTATAGGAGAAACGGGCCAGTCCAGCATGGGGATTTTAGCTGCAATAACATATCCTCTCTCCAGGTTAATATTCAAACTTTTCCCATTCTAAAATTAGCAAGAGTCTTCTGGGTTTTGTGTTTGAGTGCACGTTTTGCTACAATTGTGAATATTCAAGACAAATGCCAATCTTTAGTCATTTCTAGTCATCTGATTCCGAGTCAAGGCTCTAGAGGCATAAGGCTTCTGAGGGTGAAGTAGATCTTTTCCTCATCTTCAGGTCCTCTGAAATTCATGTTCTGAGGTCATGGGACTTGTCTTCTGAGGTGTCCCCTGCCATCACTGGTGACATTAACCCGTTGATCATTTTTATTCAACGATGATACTTTGCTGAAGTGTCAGATCAAGCTGTCTGAGCTTGATTCACCATCTATGGTGAGACCCGTAGTTTTATTCTATATCACTTTTGCTTTTATTGCTGCTTTCAACATTTACATTTGGCTGCAGTTAACAATTTTCAGAGTATGATGATTTCATATAATTTCATCATCTCACTATATATATATATATGTGTATATATATATATAATATAGTTTTTTTTTTTTTTTAAAGAGATAGGCTCTTGCCATGTTGCCTAGGCTGGTCTTGAACTCTCAAACTCCAGGACTGAAGCAATCCTGCCCCTCAGTCTCCCAAGTATCTGGACTGTATATGTACGCCACCACAGCCGACCATACATTTTAATGAGGATTCATGGCTTGAGGGATTGTGTTTGTTTAATTATATTTAACATGAAAGCTAAGTTTATATTAATATAACTAGGTATATGTATAATGCAAGAACATTGGAACACAATAAATATATTTTTATAACTGTTAAAAAAGAAAACAAAAAAACTATACACAAAGTTTAAGATTTTATGACAATGAACAAACTCCTGCCTACTTCTTCTAGATTTGTTCTGCCTCCTCATCAACACCACCTCTATGCACTACACCAGCAGTTCCCAAACTTTAGTGTGCATATGAATCACTAAAGGAGCTTTGGTGAAGACCATACCAACCTCTGTATTAATTAAGGCCAGGAATATGTCAAAGAATCTGTATTTATTTTAGAAATGCTCCTCCAGTTCTAATAGCCGAAACTACTGATTTCACCCTTGCCTCCATGCCTTCGTTAGAATATCTTTCCCCTGCCATATCCATTTCATACTCAAAATTTGGCAAAATTCTCCCCTCCTGAAGCTTTTTATCTTCTCTCAAGGTAGAATGGACTTTGTGCAACATAATGTGACAGGTCAAAAAGACCCTGGGATACAAATTCTGGCTCTGACACTTTACTGTGTCATCTAGGGAAATTTCTTAACTCCTCAAGCCTCAGTGTTCTTGGTCTGATGACATTAGGAATAGTATCCAATCATCTTTCTTTGGGTAGCGCTACTGTCCAATGAATGAGTATTGAGGGCAGTACTGCTAACGCCTACATGACACATCTGCATCAACTAGAGCACTGCTTTACTTCCGTGCAATTTTTGGAAAAAGAAAAACCCTCTTTAAAAAAAAAAAGGAATAGTATCTATATTTTAAAGGGCTGTTCTGAGAATTAAATGCATGTAAAGCAGTTAGCACAGAGCTTCAGCATTCAATAATATTACTAATCATGAGTAACAAAATCATTTAATTCTAATACAAAACATTCATCCTTCAAAACTCAGCTCAAATATATCCTCTGGGAAGCTGAGCTGGTTAGCATTCTCTACTTCATATGTCCGTACCATCTTGGACATCTATACTTTACTGAAGTGATTTACACATTTATCTTCATCATTTACTGACCTTAACAAAAAGAGGCTATTAAAACAAATGTATCTTTTACCTGCAGCATAAAGAAGACACTCAAAACATATTGACCAAATTGAAAAGAAACCCACAAACATGCTTACCAGAAAATAAATGGAAATAATGCTTGCAGTAAAGATTATTTAATGAAAATAAATATTTTTGTCCTCAGTTTGGCAGAATCAATGACAAAGGCTGAAACCTAGTACAAGTATAAATAGAATCATAAGAACTAGTAAGAAACAGGGTTAACAGGACAGTGATGGCCAAGAAGAATCTCTAGTGTTTTGAGGTACTCCCCATAAGGATGTTTTCCTTATACTAATCAACCTCTTGCTGGAAAGATCCAACAAGAGCAGATAGTCATCTTTACTCAACTGAAAGTGAGGCTGAGCTCACAAGGGCTGTCAACACCTTCAACAGAAGTGTTGGCGCCACTGTACTGCTTTGCCTACAGTCAGAAAGCAAGGAAAAGCCAGTTTCCATCTCCATAACAACTTCTCCTCAATAGTCCCACACCATATTTTTCTTCTGTGGGACCCTCACAAAGGGAAACTCTACTTTTCTATGTAGATGTACTGTACAAGCTTCTGGATTTTAAAATACAAATTCTTATAATATATTCTCCTTAAAACAGAAACCATCTGACTAAAAACCATATAACTAATTTCATGCCATCCAAGAGAATATTAAAGTAAAACCACAAAATTAGAACTGGCAACTAGTTATAACTAGATCACATTTGAGGGCCAACACTAAACTTGGTGCTGAAACTGCTCTCATATAACCAGCTGTAATTTCCAGGAGGATTAATCAAGATGGTGGGCCGAGAAACACCGCCAGACAAGAGAAAACACAGATTCTAGGGCAAATCAGAGAGAGAAGCAAGAAGACGAGCATATATCAGACGAGGGTCGGAAGGAGGGTACCTGAAGACCACGGGAGACTCCACGAGAGGAGGTTGCGGAGAACTGGAAGCAGGACCTCTGGAGCAGCCTGGAGACCAGCAGCAAGGGTAGGTGAAGAGGTTAACTTTCCTCTCCCTTGCATCTCAGACTGCTGGTGGGTCCCAGTGGGTGGAGAGACCTGCAGACACCAGCCCTGAGATGGCCGCCGCAGGGAGTGGTAAGCCTATACTAGACGCTGCACCAGGCTCCATCTCCACGGGGCACTTCCTGTGCAAGACGTGATCCCATGTCAGGTGGCCACATTGTTTCATCCCCTCCCCCATTCTATCCTGGCTGCCGAGAGAGACAATATAGCCACCAGCCAGAGGCACTCCAGGGAAGGGACCTCCCTTTTGGGGCCTACAGCTGACTGAGGGCTCTCAGACGTGAGTTCCCTAACCACCAGCCACCCTAGGTGCTGCTGGCCCAGTGCTCCCAGGAGAACGGGGTAGACCCTGAAGCTGAAGACATCAATCCCGCTGGCTCCCGCGGGTGAATTGGACTGCATTCCTCTACTGGTGGGGATAGGGATTGAACTGTGGGGCCAGAGGTCAGACCTGCAGACCCATCCCGTGCACCCAGGTCTCGCATCTGCCTGGGGCACAGAAGGGATATATGAACACTACTGAGGTGTGTGTGCCTTCAGGGGCAACAGTGCCTAGAGGCAACCTCCTACAACGGGGCCGTGCACCAGCCCAGGCGGTGTTTCGCACAGGGAACTCCTGGCCGGCATCACAGCAGGGAAGCCCGGTGGCTGAGGTCTGGCCTGCTGGCAGAGGCCCAGGAGTAGCTGCGGGAGTTGGGGGGGTGGAAGGAGCCAGGCTCGCTCTAGATGTGTCTAAGACAGCCCCCCACAACACAGACTTTCTGACTGAGCAGGGCCATTCCACCTCCTTGGCAGCTTTTCCTGGAAGCAGAGACAGAACTTTGACTCCATTAACAGCATTGTTGGTGGTGCCTGGGGCAGGCTTCCCACCCAGCACCACCCAACTCACTCTCCAGACAGCCCTCACTGAGGGGGAAAAATGACCCCCTGGAAGTCCCAGGGCCACCAACCTCCAGGAGGCACTAGACTGCTCTTCAGGGGAACAAGACTGGTTACAGAACTCAAAACAGCAGCGTAGCCTTGTTCCTCGAACAGCGCCACCTAATGACAGGGAGGACATTCTGCACACCCTTTTCACGGCACCTACCTGACTCAACATACAGGGAGTGGTCACAATCTCACCCACAAACACCACCTACCGCTCAGAGAACTAACAAGGAGTGTCAATACCAAACGAAAGAAGCAAACACTGATAGACATGAGGAAGAAATCAGCGAAGGAACTCCGGAAATATAAGAACAAACGGAAACCAAACCCCAAAGAGGGGAGCACCCACTAGCCCTTAGAAACAGACACCAACCAAAATCATGGCAACCAAAATGACAGAAGAGGAATGTCAAATGTGATCATAAAAAATTCAATCACCCGCAGAACCAACTCCCATAACCCAAACCAAAGAAACCACAAAAAGCTCCAGGACTGGACAAAAATTCACAAAGACATCGACCAATAAAGAAAAGTAAACAAACCTGGAATTGAAAGAATCAATTCAGGGAACTACAAAATACAATGGAAAAGCCCTCAAGAACAGGGTACATCACACAGAAGAAAGATCTCAGAAGATTGAAAACACCTTCCAAATTAAATAAATCAGTAACAGAGATAGAGCAGAGAAACAAGAGAAAAAGCAGCCTGCAAGAGATGTTGGGATTATGATGAGAAACTAACCGTGAGGGTCATAGGGTTACCAGCAAGGGGAAAAAAACACCCAAGGGGTGGACAAACTATTCGCAATATATAGAGAAATTTCCCAGGCCTGCTAAAATACTCGATATACAAGTTCAAGAAGCTCAGAGACCTCGGGAAATTCCATGCAAACAGGAAGACGTCATGACATGCAGTCATCGACTGACCAAAATATTCAACTCAAGAGGCCCTTCTAGAAGAGCTTAAGATGAAAGAAGCAAGTACATAACAAGGGAAAGCCAATCCGAATAACACCAGACCTTTCCTCTACTGAACTCTTACAAGCAAGGAGAGACTGGGCCATTCTCACTCTTCTGAACAACAAATAGCCCAGCCTAGAATCTTATC